GGTCAGCAGGATGGTACAGCTAGCCACCATTGTCAGGGGTGGTGCAGCTAGCCACCATTGTCAGCAGGGATGGTACAGCTAGCCACCATTGTCAGCAGGGATGGTACAGCTGGCCTCCATTGTCAGCAGTGATGGTACAGCTGGCCACCATTGTCAGCGGGATGGTACAGCTGGCCACCATTGTCAGCAGTGATGGTACAGCTGGCCACCATTGTCAGCAGGGATGGCACAGCTAGCCACCATGGTCAGGGGTGGTACAGCTAGCTCCCATGGTCAACAGGGATGGTGCAGCTAGCCACCATTGTCAGCAGGGATGGTACAGCTAGCTACCATTGTCCTGAGGATGCTACAGCTAGCCACCATGGTCAGGGTGGTACAGCTAGCTCCCATGGTCAGCAGGGATGGTGCAGCTAGCCACCATGGTCAGCAGGGATGGTACAGCTAGCCACCATGGTCAGGGGTGGTACAGCTAGCCACCATTGTCAACAGGGATGGTATAGCTGGCCACCATTGTCAGCAGGGATGGTTCAGCTAGCCACCATTGTCAGCAGGGATGGCACAGCTAGCCACCATGGTCAGTAGGGATGGTACAGCTAGCTCTCATGGTCAACAGGGATGGTGCAGCTAGCCACCATTGTCAGTAAGGATGGTACAGCTGGCCACCATGTTCAGCAGCAGGGATGGTACAGCTGGCCACCATGGTCAGCAGGGATGGTACAGCTGGCCACCATGGTCAGCAGGGATGGTACAGCTAGCCACCATGGTCAGCAGGGATGGCAGCTGGCCACCATTGTCAGCGTGATGGTACAGCTGGCCATCATTGTCAGCAGGGATGGTACAGCTGGCCACCATTGTCAGCAGGGTTGGTACAGCTGGCCACCATGGTCAGCAGGGATGGTACAGCTGGCCACCATTGTCAGCAGGGATGGTACAGCTAGCCACCATTGTCAGCAGGGATGGTACAGCTAGCCACCATGGTCGGGGTGGTGCAGCTAGCCACCATTGTCAGCAGGGATGGTACAGCTAGCCACCATTGTCAACAGGGATGGTACAGCTAGCCACCATTGTCAGGGATGGTACAGCTAGCCACCATTGTCAACAGGGATGGTACAGCTAGCCACCATTGTCAGCAGGGATGGTACAGCTAGCCACCATTGTCAGCAGGGATGGTACAGCTAGCCACCATTGTCAACAGGGATGTACAGCTAGCCACCATTGTCAGCAGGGATGGTACAGCTAGCCACCATTGTCAACAGGGATGGTATAGCTGGCCACCATTGTCAGCAGAGGATGGTACAGCTAGCCACCATTGTCAGCAGGGATGGTACAGCTAGCCACCATTGTCAACAGGGATGGTACAGCTAGCCACCATTGTCAACAGGGATGGTACAGCTAGCCACCATTGTCAACACGGGTTGGTACAGCTAGCCACCATTGTCAACAGGGATGGTACAGCTAGCCACCATTGTCAGCAGGGATGGTACAGCTAGCCACCATTGTCAACAGGGATGGTACAGCTGGCCTCATTGTCAACAGGGATGGTACAGCTAGCCACCATTGTCAACAGGGATGGTACAGCTGGCCACCATTGTCAACAGGGATGGTACAGCTGGCCACCATTGTCAACAGGGATGGTACAGCTAGCCACCATTGTCAACAGGGATGGTACAGCTGCCATTGTCAACAGGGATGGTACAGCTGGCCACCATTGTCAACAGGGATGGTACAGCTAGCCACCATTGTCAGCAGGGATGGTACAGCTAGCCACCATGGTCAACAGGGATGGTACAGCTAGCCACCATTGTCAACAGGGATGGTACAGCTAGCCACCATGGTCCAACAGGGATGGTACAGCTAGCCACCATTGTCAACAGGGATGGTACAGCTAGCCACCATTGTCAACAGGGATGGTACAGCTAGCCACCATTGTCAGCAGGATGGTACAGCTAGCCACCATGGTCAACAGGGATGGTACAGCTAGCCACCATGGTCATCAGGGATGGCAGCTGACCACCATTGTCAACAGGAATGGTACAGCTGGCCCCATTGTCAACAGGGATGGTACAGCTAGCCACAATTGTCAACAGGGATGGTACAGCTGGCCACCATTGTCAACAGGGATGGTACAGCTAGCCACCATTGTCAGCAGGGATGGTACAGCTAGCCACCATTGTCAGCAGGGATGGTACAGCTAGCCACCATTGTCAACATGGATGGTACAGCTAGCCACCATTGTCAACAGGGTTGGTACAGCTGCCACCATTGTCAACAGGGATGGTACAGCTGGAAACCATTGTCAACAGGGATGGTACAGCTGGCCACCATTGTCAGCAGGGATGGTACAGCTAGCCACCATTGTCAGCAGGGATGGTACAGCTAGCCACCATTGGGTCAACAGGGGATGGTACAGCTGGCCACCATTGTCAGCAGGGATGCAGGCCAGCCAGCCATACTGTCAGCAGGGATGGCACAGCCAGCCACCATTGTCAGCAGGGGATGGCACAGCTAGCCACCCATTGTCATAGGGGATGGTACAGCCACACCATTGTCAGCAGGGATGGCACAGCCAGCCACCATTGTCAGCAGGATGGTACAGCAGCCACCATTGTCAACAAGGGATGGCACAGCTAGCCACCATTGTCAACAGGGGATGGCACAGCTAGCCACCATTGTCAGCAGGGGATGGCCAGCCACAGGCCACGCAGGATGAAGAAGCTAGCCAACCATTGTCAGCCAGGATGGTACAGCTAGCCACCATGGTCAGCAGGATGGTGCCAGCACACCATTGTTAGTAGTGATGGTTGTGCCAGCCACCATTGTCAGCAGGATGGTACAGCTGGCCCCCATGGTTAGCAGGGATGGTACAGTTGCCACCATGGTCAGGGGTGGCAGCTAGCCACCATTGTCAGCAAGGATGGTACAGCTGGCCACCATGGTCAGCAGGGATGGTACAGCTGGCCATCATGGTCAGTAGGATGGTACAGCTGGCCACCATTGTCAGCAGTGATGGTACAGCTGGCCACCATTGTCAGCAGGATGGCACAGCTGGCCACCATTGTCAGCAGGATGGCACAGCCACACCATGGTCAGAGGATGCAGTACAAAGGGTCACCTTGGTCAGCCTAAGACATAAACTGAGGGAGTCATGTGTGTTGGACTCTTGTAGGCAATTAATATTAAGAAGAGAGAGAGAGAGAGAGAGAGAGAGAGAGAGAGAGAGAGAGAGAGAGAGATAAAGCTTCTGTTAAGTCATTGCTCATCTTATTCCCCTCAGACACACACACAGGTGCCGGGGACACCATCTCCACCAGGCTGGGTGATGGACAGGTGGACCTTCCAGTGCTGCCACACAATCTTCATATTACCAACACAACTGCTGCAGTGAACCCTGTTACCTGCCTCCTGATGCCCGCCACACAGTCCCCACTACTGACCAAGGTACTGAGGGTCTCAACACCTATACCCAGGGACGCCCACGCCACCACCACCAAACCAACACCAAACTCTTGTCCTGATGCTTCCCAGAGACTCCCCACTACTGACGAAGGTGCTGAAGGTCGTAACAACACTAGTAAAACAGGTGCCACCACCATGAACATCCACGCAATCTTACTCTGGTGCAGGCCAGTGATCCGTAGCCCCTGACAAAGGCTGGCGACAGTGGCAGTAAGGCTCGTAACAGCACATGCTGGAGCACCGTCGCCAAACTACTCCATATATCATGATCCTCAGGTACCCACTGCCACCGATAGAGGCGACACTCACCTCCATTTAACCCACAGCTTAATTTCCTCTAAGTCCTAAGGTTGAAGCTGTGTAGATGTAACAACAAATTAAATTTCAAACATTTCCTATATATAACAAAAATGTACATATTAAGTATATTTTCATAGTTATATAACCTTTCACAATATTCAATAAACTAAGTTAACAACCAACGGTTACTGAGGCGAGACAAGCAACAGCTTCGAGGCGAGACAAGCAACAGTCACTGGGGCCAGACAAGCAACAGTCACTGGGCGAGAGACAAGCAACAGTCACTGAGGCGAGACAAGCAACAGTCACTGGGGGCGAGACAAGCAACAGTCACTGAGGCGAGGATGCCAACAGCCAAATGGGCGAGACAAGCAACAGTCACTGGGGCGAGACAAGCAACAGCTCACTTCCTGAGGCGAGACAAGCAACAGTCACTGGGGCGAGATAAGCAATGAAGTCACTGAGGCGAGACAAGCAACAGCGTCACTGAGGCGAGACAAGCAACAGTCACTGGGGCGAGACAAGCAATGTCACTTTAGGTAAGGAGATACAACAGTCACTGAGGCGAGATACAACAGTCACTGGGGCCAGACAACAGTCACTGGGGCCAGACAAGCAACAGTCACTGGGGCGAGACAAGCAACAGTCACTGGGCGAGACAAGCAACAGTCACTGGGCGAGACAAGCAACAGTCACTAAAGAGACAAGCAACAGTCACTGGGCGAGACAAGCAACAGTCACTGAGGCGAGACAAGCAACAGTCACTGAGGCGAGACAAGAACAGTCACTGAGGCGAGACAAGCAACAGTCACTGAGGCGAGACAACAACAGTCACTGAGGCGAGACAAGCAACAGTCACTGAGGCGAGACAAAGCAACAGTCACTAAGAGACAAGCAACAGTCACTGGAGGCGACAAGCAACAGTCACTGGGGCGAGACAAGAACAGTCACTGAGGCGAGACAAGCAACAGTCACTGAGGCGAGACAAGCAACAGTCACTGAGGCGAGACAAAGCAACAGTCACTGAGGCGAGAAAAGCAACAGTCACTGAGGCGAGGCGAGACAAGGAGACTGCGAGACAACACCGGAGGCGAGACAGTCACTGAGGAGAGCCACCAAGAGACAAGCAACAGTCACTGAGGCGCGAGACAAGCAACAGTCACTGAGGCGAGACAAGCAACAGTCACTGGGGCCAGACAAGCAACAGTCACTGGGGCGAGACAAACAACAGTCACTGAGGCGAGTCACAAGGCGAGAACAGTCACTGAGGCGAGACAAGCAACAGTCACTGGGGCGAGACAAGCAACAGTCACTGAGGCGAGACAAGCAACAGTCACTGGGGCGAGACAAGCAACAGTCACTGAGGCGAGACAAGCAACAGTCACTGAGGCGAGACAAGCAACAGTCACTGGGGCGAGACAAGCAACAGTCACTGAGGCGAGACAAGCAACAGTCACTGGGGCGAGATATTACCATTTACGGGAAATTAATGATCTTAATAACGTCTTTAATCTACGTTCATTTGGAGATTTAATGAACTCCGACGGTGAACTAACGGGACCAGTTAATTGTAGTATAACTTCCCTGATACAATATGAGGGCAATTTGTTCATAAAACAGAGGTAATGTGTAGGTGATAAACTCTTGAACCACACACACACACACACACACACACACACACACACACGCGACAAAACCATCTGTTAACCAAGATAATTAAACGATGCCTGAGAACTAATAACAGTGACTGCATTCATTGACTAATTTGTCGAATATAATTACTGAGCTAAATTATTGGAGGTAATCTCTTTATTTAACATACACATAGAAAGGAATTAGTAACACGCATTAATTTCCTCATCCTGTACCGCTGATTAATGTACGCTTGATGTCATGTTATCTTTCCTTAACAATACATTATTTTATTAAAGAATCTATTTAAAACTCACAGTAATGTCGTCAATTCTATTTGAACTTCTCTGAGGTCTCATGTTATTCTTTGTTTTCGTGCTTCAGCTGACAGGATTATTAAGTTCAATTATGTTAAAAGCGTCACACTTTCAAGGGATTTTAGCTGTACAAAATAAGTTAGAATGTCGGGCTTCAAGTGTCGCCCTGCCAGACTAGACCTCCCCAGGCAATAGATATCGTGTAATTCAGTTAAGTCACCCAGAGGACGACACCAACAATTTGTTCATAAAACAGAGGTAGTGTGTAGGTGATATAATCTTGAACCACACACACACACACACACACACACACATCCTGTCTACTAAGCTCATGAACGGAAATCTCTACATTATCATGACTATTTATTGAAATTTTATTGTTATATCGACGATTGAGACACGTTGATATGTCCAGGTTCAGTGGGCGGGGCGAGTAATAATTAACAGCTTGTTGGAGTTATATCAAGTTGTTTACGCTATTTATGATTTATAATTGAACTAGATACACATCAATACACAAAGTCTATTTAATACCTGTTATTATTCTTCATTTATTCATCATGTGTCGCCTCTACCCCTGCCAGTATCAAGAGTTCTGATTGGCTGCGATTTCAGACCAAACCAAAATAAACATGAGTAAGCACACTATTGGCTGTGAGTATATAGAAGTATGGGTATATAGTTACTAGGTATGGGTATATAGTTACTGGGTATGGGTATATAGTTAGTGGGTATGGGTATATAGTTACTGGGTATGGGTATATAGTTACTGGGTATGGGTATATAGTTACTGGGTATGGGTATATAGTTACTGGGTATGTAGTTACTGGGTATGGGTATATAGTTAGTGGGTATGGGTATATAGTTAGTTACTGGGTATGGGTATATAGTTAGTGGGTATGGGTATATAGTTACTGGGTATGGGTATATAGTTACTGGGTATGGGTATATAGTTACTGGGTATGGGTATATAGTTACTGGGTATGTAGTTACTGGGTATGGGTATATAGTTACTAGGTATGGGTATATAGTTACTGGGTATGTAGTTACTAGGTATGGGTATATAGTTACTGGGTATGGGTATATAGTTACTGGGTATGTAGTTACTAGGTATGGGTATATAGTTACTGGGTATGTAGTTACTAGGTATGGGTATATAGTTACTGGGTATGGGTATATAGTTACTGGGTATGTAGTTACTAGGTATGGGTATATAGTTACTGGGTATGTAGTTACTAGGTATGGGTATATAGTTACTGGGTATGGGTATATAGTTACTGGGTATGTAGTTACTAGGTATGGGTATATAGTTACTGGGTATGTAGTTACTAGGTATGGGTATATAGTTACTGGGTATGGGTATATAGTTACTGGGTATGTAGTTACTAGGTATGGGTATATAGTTACTGGGTATGTAGTTACTAGGTATGGGTATATAGTTACTGGGTATGGGTATATAGTTACTGGGTATGTAGTTACTAGGTATGGGTATATAGTTACTGAGTATGGGTATATAGTTACTGGGTATGTAGTTACTGGGTATGGGTATATATAGTTACTGGGTATGGGTATATAGTTACTAGGTATGTAGTTACTAGGTATGGGTATATAGTTACTAGGTATGTAGTTACTAGGTATGGGTATATATAGTTACTGGTATGTAGTTAGGTATGGGTATATAGTTACTGGGTATGTAGTTACTAGGTATGGGTATATAGTTACTAGGTATGTAGTTACTAGGTATGGTATATAGTTACTGGGTATGTAGTTACTAGGTATGGTGCCTGTAGTTACTGGGTATGGGTATATAGTTTCAGGGTATGTAGGGTTACTAGGTATGGGTATATAGTTACTGGAGTATGGGTATATAGTTACTGGGTATGTAGTTACTGGGTATGGAGTATATATAGTTTACTGGTATGGTATATAGTTACTAGGTATGTAGTTACTAGGTATGGGTATAGTTACTGGATATGTAGTTACTAGGTATGGGTATATAGTTACTGGGTATGGGTATATAGTTACTGGGTATGTAGTTACTAGGTATGGGTATATAGTTACAGGGTATGGGTATATAGTTACTGGGTATGGGTATATAGTTACTGGATATGTAGTTACTGGGTATGGGTATATAGTTACTGGGTATGTAGTTACTAGGTATGGGTATATAGTTACTGGGTATGGGTATATAGTTACTGGATATGTAGTTACTGGGTATGGGTATATAGTTACTGGGTATGTAGTTACTAGGTATGGGTATATAGTTACTGGATATGTAGTTACTAGGTATGGGTATATAGTTACTGGATATGTAGTTACTGGGTATGGGTATGTAGTTACTAGGTATGGGTATATAGTTACTGGGTATGGGTATATAGTTACTGGTGTAGTTACTGGGTATGGGTATATAGTTACTGGGTATGTAGTTACTGGGTATGGGTATGTAGTTACTAGGTATGGGTATATAGTTACTGGATATGTAGTTACTAGGTATGGGTATATAGTTACTGGGTATGGGTATATAGTTACTGGGTATGTAGTTACTAGGTATGGGTATATAGTTACAGGGTATGGGTATATAGTTACTGGGTATGGGTATATAGTTACTGGATATGTAGTTACTGGGTATGGGTATATAGTTACTGGGTATGTAGTTACTAGGTATGGGTATATAGTTACTGGGTATGGGTATATAGTTACTGGATATGTAGTTACTGGGTATGGGTATATAGTTACTGGGTATGTAGTTACTAGGTATGGGTATATAGTTACTGGATATGTAGTTACTAGGTATGGGTATATAGTTACTGGATATGTAGTTACTGGGTATGGGTATGTAGTTACTAGGTATGGGTATATAGTTACTGGGTATGGGTATATAGTTACTGGGTATATAGTTACTGGGTATGGGTATATAGTTACTGGGTATGTAGTTACTGGGTATGGGTATATAGTTACTGGGTATGTAGTTACTGGGTATGGGTATATAGTTACTGGGTATGGGTATATAGTTACTGGGTATGGGTATATAGTTACTGGGTGTGGGTATATAGTTACTGGGTATGTAGTTACTGGGTATGGGTATATAGTTACTGGGTATGTAGTTACTGGGTATGTAGTTACTGGGTATTAGCAGATGAGGTAATTTTTACATATACCAGACGAAGTAAACAGTTTTAGTGATACAACAAACTTTTTCTATGTATTTTTGTCTTGTTACAAAATTGAACTACGTTTAAACTTTCTTTGTGAGGGATGTAACAGTGACGAGACAACAATAATAAGAACAACAATAATAATAATAATAAAAATAATAATAATAATAATAATAATAATAATAATAATAATAATAATAATAATAATAATAAAAACAAAAGTGATAACGACAACAACAATGCTAGTAATAAAAATAACAATACTGTAATTACTGAACAACAAACATTACAACAAACTTGAACAGACTATATACAAAACACCACCAAAGTTAGCTGAACTGTACATAAGTTAGTCTCCACACAACTTTAGGAGATATTTTAAACAAAGTTGACGAATTTATACGATAAAACAAAATTAATGACGAAGTTAATCCAAATAAGTGTCAAATATATTAACATTAAAGATCAGACAACTTTAACTTCCTCCCTCAAGCTATGTAAGGCAGCCACTCCAGTACACACGCACTCTCTCTCTCTCTCTCTCTCTCTCTCTCTCTCTCTCTCTCTCTCTCTCTCTCTCTTCATGGACTTCAAGGGCGTGTCCTCCTCTTGCTGGCCTGGGAGTAACCACAGAGTTATAACACATGTAATGCTGTGTTAAATTTGTGCACGTTTGACACACTTATGCTTTTACTGACAGACTATACAGTGAGGATGTTGTTAATATTTATGACCATCATGGATTTAAAAAAAAAAAAAACATACGGGAAGGAATAATCTCTTCTTAACAACACTGTATCTTGTCCAGGTGCTGCACTGTCACAGGTGAGTGGCGAATGAATAGTGAATGATAAGTTAATTGGTTTTATTACCATCTTCCTCAGAGTAAATAGCCAGCACCACCACACACCAAGCTCCTAATTCCTCTGGGGAGAAGACTGGAGAAAGCAAGAGAGGGTGAGACACAGGGGAGAGGGTGAGACACAGGGGAGAGGGTGAGACACAGGGGAGAGGGTGAGACACAGGAGGGTGAGACACAGGGAGAGGGTGAGACACAGGAGAGGGTGAGACACAAGGAGGGTGAGACACCACAGGGAGGTGGGGCAGGGAGGTGAGACACAGGGGAGAGGGTGAGACACAGGGGAGAGGGTGAGACACAGGGGAGAGGTTTAGTTGACACATGTAAGGGAGAGTGAGACAGGAGTACAGTACACACACCTTCACTAATAACACCACACCACTCAATACTTCCTTATTTATATCTGTTATATTATTGTTTGATCAACCTTGGCCCACACCAAACAATATACTCTCACAGAAGGGTGGTGGAAGGGTAGGTAGAGTTGTGAGAGGGGGTATAGGGGAAGGGGGGGAGGGGGGTCCAGTCTATGTGTCTGGCTTCCCTCTAAAACTCTGGTTGTAAATAAATTCATCCATCATGGTCAGATAGCGTTGTTGGCCAAGTAATGTTGCCAATCTGCTTCTACCATCCGAAGATCACCATCATTGCCACTATTAGCGTCACCATTACTATCGCACTATCATTAATCACCACCATCAACACTACCATCACACCACTATCATTACCATCACTACTAACATCACCAACATTCCCAACACTATCATCATCACCACCATTACCACCGCTGTTATCACAATCATCATCATCACGAATACAATCAACATCACTACTACTACTATCACCATCATCACCACTCCCACCACCATCACTGAAACGACCATCAAAAACAATACAAACCATCACCAACAAAAACTCTGTTACAGCTTCAATTTTGACTCTTGCACCCAGACACTGTGACTCCTTCCCTCCCCCTCCTCCTCCCTCCTCCCTTCCTCCCTCCCTCCCTCCTCCTCCTCCTCCCTCCTCCCTCCCTCCCTCCCTCCTCCCTCCCTCCTCCCTCCCTCTCTCCGCCTCTCATAAATGAAAACTAAACTTGGCCCCTTCCCTCCTACACGCCCCCGTGACTCTTACATCTCCACTTTCTCAACCTGACTCCTCACTTTCCTACACTCTTGTCCTTTACTGATTTCCTTTCCATTCTGGCTCTCACCCTCTCACTGAGCTGTGATCCCGGAGGCTGTGTAGTCCTGGAGGCTGTGTGGTCCTGGAAGCTGTGTGGTCCTGGAAGCTGTGTGGTCCTGGAAGCTGTGTGGTCCTGGAAGCTGTGTGTGTAGTCCTGGGCTGTGTGTGGTCCTGGAGGCTGTGTAGTCCTGGAGGCTGTGTAGTCCTGGAGGCTGTGTGGTCCTGGAGGCGGTGTGGTCCTGGAAGCTGTGTGATCCTGGAGGCTGTGTGGTCCTGGAAGCTGTGTGGTCCTGAAAGCTGTGTGGTCTTGGAAGCTAGTATGCAGTGGAGCGCCAAGTCCAGTATATATAACATGCTGAGGTCGTCCCACTTTACCGCCTCTCATTTATATCGTGGCTTTATTAGAAGTATAACGATAACGTGTAGCAAACAGTGAGAAATGGAAGAAAAGACATGGAAAATAGAAAGAAGGAAGGAGGGAAGGAATAGAACGAAATAGAGGTGAGAAACAAGGAAGTTTAAAGAAGAATTGGATGGATGAAAGGAAGAGAGGAGAGCAAGGAGAGGAAGAGGGTGGTAAGGGAAAGGCGAAACAAAGAAAGAGGAAGGAAGAGGAGAAGAGGGTAGAGGTCAGGACGGAGGAGAGAGAGGAACAATTTAACCGTCTTGAATAACTCGACGGGTCCTCCCTCGTTCCTTCCTCCTCCTGCCACCCTCCTCCCCTCCCCTCCCCTCCCCTTGCCCTCTCTACCCTCCCTTCCTCCTTACCCTCTCCCTACCCTCCCCTCCTTGCCTCTCTACCCTCCCTTCCTCCTTACCTCTCTACCCTCCCTCCTCCTTGCCCTCTCTACTCCTACCCTCCCCTCCTTGCCTCTCTACCCCTCCCTCTCTCCTTGCCTCTCCTCCCTCCTCTCTTCTTTCATCTCTCCCACCTCTATACCTCTCTTCCCAGTTCTTCTCTTCTTTCTTCGCTTCTCTCCCTCCTGCCTATCTCTTTTCCAACTCGCCCTCCCCTCCTTCCTTTTTACTCTGCCTTCCCTCTTCCCCTTTTCTCTCCTTAGTTCTATACTTCTTCATTATCATCCTCATTTTCTCCCTCTTACCTCTCCCGCCTCCTTTCTGTTCATTTATATCTCCCCTCCCTCCCTTCCTCTCACTCCTTCCCTCTCTTCCTTTCTCTCCCTCTCACCTCCCCTTCCTTCCCATCTACCCTCTCCATTCGTCTCCTATCTCTTTACCTTCATCTCCTCTCTTCACTACCTTTCTACACATCCCCTCCGTTCCTCCCCTACCTTCCTTTTAATTCTTCTCTCTTCTTCTCTTTCCCTTCCCTTCTCTCTTCTCTCCCCTCCTGCCTCATCCTCCCTCCTCTTCCCTTCCCCTTCCCTTCCCTCTCTCTCCTCCCCTCCTCTAACCATCCCTTCCCCTCCCCTTTAAGCCCCCCGTCTCCCCCACCAGCACGTCGTCCCGGTAAGAGCCAACTTAGATAAATGTGTCGAGGCAGAACCAAAAAATCCTTGGATGGACGAAGGCAAATTGTTGCATAATTTTGGTAAAAGCGTCGCCATAAATCAACTATTTTGGAGAGTTCGACATTTCTTACGTCGTGTTTTTTATATTATTGTTATTATATATCAGTATTATTATTTTGTTTTATCTTCTTGGTTATGATAAATCGTTACCTGGATAATTAAATGTGTATTGTTGTTGTGTGGTGTGGTAATATTTGTATTTTGCCACTTGCAGCGGCTAGTTTGTGTACCCATATTCATCCTGAGCGGTAGCGCAAGGATTACAGAGTAGAGTTCACAAAAGGTCAGTATAACTAACCCCCGTGGTCAGGATATTAAGACATTGAATGTTACAGAGTATTTCAAATAAATTCTTTGTTTAGTTCTATACATAAAGGGTAACTTATTCGCAACTGCGTGAGTACAGGAGTGTGAGGCAGTATGTCTGGCCGCACACTTTGTTATTCACATTTGCGTGAGAGGTATTCAAGCAGATTGTGTGTTTAGTTTTATACTTGGGAACTGATGTAGCTACTAAGTGCAAAAAAGTGGATACAATCTTAATATGTCGGCTATCTTGCCATTAGAGATAAAGTGTTGTGCCATTTCACACACAGTGTGCTTGGACCTGTCCCAAAGTTCTACCTTCACACAGTCAAGGACGTAGTGTTCGAGTGTGTGGCCATATGTTTGACCACACTTTACATTTAGTTGTTCACATCTGCTTAAGGAATATACTGCCAGAGGTACTTATATCCTAACCTTAGTCTAACGGTTACAACATCTTGTCATCTAGTGATCTTGTTACTTGCTCCAAATACATGTTTCATTTGATACATCTCATCATGGTAAACAATGGATTAACTAGTGCCTGTTTGCACTTGTCTGCTTGCGTCAAATTCATCATTAAGTTTCTTCCTAATTCCAGTTTTAATGGTTCTTTTTGACAGAAACAGATTATATTCAACAGTGACTTTGTTAGACACGAGTTTGGCGAGGGCATCAACTCTGTCATGTTCTTTGAGGCCTGTGTGCGTGTGGGTGTGGGTTTGTTGTGTGTTGTTGTAAGTTTTAGTTATTGTATTAAATACAGTTTATAATGGATTATTCTCTTATTTTCAGGCGGTGGTTGACCAGCTGTCATTCTCAGTATTGACTCACCATTAATTCTTCCTGGCCAGATTGAGGTATGTGTTGAAAGTTGTCAGTAGCCAAGAACACATTTAATACATCTTGAATTAGTCATTTAATATGGCTTGTAATAGATGTTTAATGTGAATTTCAGTACACTTATTATGGCTTGCAACATTTAATATGGCCAATAACACTTAACATACTTGCAATACATTAAATATGGCTTGCAATAAACACATTTGATATGACTAACAGTAGAGACCTTTAATATCGCTTTTAATAGAGTGGTTTTTCCCTTGACCTCAACGTAACGTAAATTTACACAACTTTATATTGATTGGACAGTTTTTATCATGCCATGTTTGCAAGAAAATGTTCAGTGCATGTGAGTTGTGAATAATATGAGCGAGAGTGTGAGTTTTGGGCCATAATTTTGTTATATTTCACGTTGAAGAATATGAAAGAATGCCTGAGGACCCTTCTCGTTTATCTCCTACAGAATATGTAAAGTTCTGTAAAAATTAGGGACAATGAAAAGTAGGATATACCAGGTACTCGAGAAAGTGTTTGAAAACTATTACATACGTCATAACTGCTTGAGAAATGTCTTATAATTAAGAAAACATTCATGGAGGAGATTTTAAACCAGGTCAGTGTAGCGTAATAACTCTAAAGTAAAAAGGCAATTTAATTTAATAAGTGTGATTTATGGCCACGGAGGCTCTTATAATTTAATGTGACGAAACTCCATCTGGACAGCGAGTAAACCCCATTATTCAGGTGACTACAGAAAAGACACAAGTTTATGTGGTGTGAGGTTGTGTGTGGCAGGAGTCTGTATTATCTCAGCTGGTGCATAGTTTTAATAATTATTCAGGAAACATTACTGGGGTTATTCAGGCCTGGTTGTCATCTCTGACACACACACATAGACACACACAAACACTAACACTTCTGCACCATCCTCGACACCGGTTCCTACTACCACCTGAGATCCCTCGCCCGAGAATTACTGTTCGACACCACAACCGCATCCAGCCCATAAGAGCACGAACTGATCGCTATAAGAACAGCCCAGTCCCAACCATTGTAAAAATTATCAATAACTTGTAATCAACCAGTGTATTCACTCCCAGTCAATCTTACTTTTTGCACTGTCACTATGTTGAAATGCCCTGTAGTTTGAGCCCCTCCCTAGTTATTATATATCATATTTGTATCACTTATGTTACTTGTATATTATTTGTAAATCAAGAGACCCATTCCACAATTATGTAACTGTATATTATCAGCCTTCCGCTGCCATGTTTTTCAATAAACCGTTAATATTATATATATATATATATATATATATATATATATATATATTATATATTATTACACAAACACACACACACACACACACAAACCTAACACACACACACACAAACCCACACAAACACACACACAAACCAACACACACAAACACACACACACACAAACACAACACACACAAACACACACACACACAAACACACACAAACACCAACACACACAAACACACACACACACAAACACTAACACACAAACACACACACACAAACACTAACACACACAACACACACAAACACTAAACACACAAACACACACACACACACACAAACACACACACACAAACACTAACACACACAAACACACACACACAAACACCACACACACAAACACACACACACACAACACACACACACATACACACACACACAAGTTACAGAGACAAAGTCTGTTTATGAAAATCAATTAAAAAATCAGGATGTCGCTTCAGGCGAACCAAATACTTGTGTCTTCTTGTTAAAAACTGAACATATTAGTTTGTCTTTGCTATGTCCAAGAGAGCCAGCCCCCCCCTCCCACACACACACACACTGAGGATAATACCTATGGTCGAGCCTTAGTTTAATGTTCTCGTCACTTTGACCACCGTCGTTTTGTCGTGTCTTAATCAACCCACTATACCATCCTGACCTAAATAATAACTTCATAATATCAAGAACAACACCTGCACGGTAAATTTACCTGTTAATGAAGTACCTTACCACCATACCAGCAGCAATACTTCACCTGTCTGTTCCAGGGTCTCACAGGTTCTTTACGTCACAACCATAAATGAGCAGAAAACTTAAGTGTGCTTTTAAAACACTTAAGGGCTCAGTTGCCAGTTATGTCTTCAAATTGGGGTTAGCTTCGTCTCGTATAAGTCTTGAAAGAGCCATTTTGTCTTGTGAGTTCGTTCATATATATACATATATATATATATAATTTTTGAGAGAGAGACTTCCCTGGGTGTATAAAGCAGAGACACAAGCCGCCTCCCACACACACACACACACACACACACACACACACACGTCACCTGTAATTACCAAGAGGTAATCATTCTCGTCCCCTCTCAAGAAAACACCGTTCTCCTTGTCTAGCAGTTTATACAGACTGTTCCCCAGAACCACACATTACTTGGAAATAAATGTGAAACAGTTCGTATGTAGGAGTGTTTGTTGTAGGTACGACGGGATCATACTGTACACTTAACCTAACATAAACTTACCGAAACAAACTTAACCTTACCAAACCTAACCTAACATACTTTACCTAACCTTACCTAACCTATCTTAACCTTACCTTACCTAGCCTAACTTAACCATATTTAACCTAACTAACCTAACAACCATATTT